CAAGGCCAAGTGGTGGATCCTGCAACTGGGTCGCAACAAACCCACACAACCCTACATGCCAGGGGAAGAGGGGTTGGAAAGCTGTCTGGTAGAAAAGGATCTGGGGGTGCTGGTGGACAGCCAGCTGCCTACATAGCCAAAGCCAGTAACATCCTGGCTTGTACTGGTGTGGCCAGCAGGACTAGGCAAGTGATTGATTGTACCTCTGTACTCAGCCGCAGTGAGGCTCAAAATAATGTTTGGTTTTGGGCCCCTCACTGCAAAAAGGGTGTTGAGGTGTTGGAGCATGTCCAAAGGAAGGCAATGAAGCTGATGATGGGTCTAGAGCACTAGTCTTAAGACAAGTGGCTGACAGAACTTGGATTGTTTAGTCTGAAAAAAACAAGACTCAGGAGAGACCTTTTTGCTCTCTGCAACTACCTGAAAGTAGGTGGTAGTAGGATGGGTGTCAGGCTGTTCTCCCAAGTAACAAATGATATGGACAAGAGCAGCCTCAAGCTCTGCCAAGTAAGGGCTAGCCTGGATATTAGGGAATATTTCTTCACAGAAGGTATTGCTCAGGGAAGTGCAGTCAGCACCTCTGGAGACATTTTAAGGACATTTAGATATGGTACTTACAGTACTGGTGGACTGGGCAGTGTTAGCTTACCTAACAGTTGGACTTGATCTTCAAAGTCCTTTCCAACCTAAATAGTTCTATGATCTAGTGTATGGCCTCCGAGCAAGGCATGTTTTATACCTGCCTTGATAGCCTCCTAAAAGCCAGAGGCGATAGCATGTGCCCATCCCAATTACAAGCACGTTCCTTAAAGATTACTCCATCATGTGCACGTAGGATCCCTTTGCATGTTTTAAGAAAGGCATCGAATCTTGCTTGTCTCAATGCACAAGGAGCCATTATCCCCATTTTAATGTCACTACTTTCTGCATTCAGTTTAAAGCCAGCCAATGGCAAGAACTGGGTGGTTGCACAGCTCAGCTGAACTGCTACAGCCCAGAACTTTGAGGTAGTTCTTCCCCTCTACTATGCTCTGGGGAGACACCAACCTGGAGTCCTGCATCCAGCTCTGGAGTCCTTAGCACAGGAAAGACGTGGACCTGTTAGACCAGGTCCAGAAGGGCCACAGAAATGAACAAATTTCAATACATTGTTTGCACTGCAGACACCTTACAGAAGTACCAACAGGAACAGGTTAACAGTTAGAAGCTTAGAGGACAATTACTGACTGACCCCAAGAAGAAGAGTAGAAGAGTACTGCAGATGGATTTTGTCTTACAAGCAGGATCTCTTAATATTTCACTATATAAGAAATACTGACCAACTGCAGCATGCATCTTTACTGGACTATATATTCAGAGATTTGAGAGTTTCACTTCAGTTATGCTGCTAGTCCTAAAACAGTTACTGTATGGATAAAGACACTTCCTTTTTCTCAGCTCTGACATCATATTTTACAACAGCATATTTTTAAATGTTAAACCTGTCCTTATCACTGTACTTACTAGAGCCTCCCAACCTTAAGCTAAAACAATGAGCAACCCTCCTTCAAATGTCTGGAGCACCAAGCGCAGACAAACACTACTGGGAAAAAACCTTTTAATTTATTCACAACAGCTAAAACCAGAGTAGTCACTGGGGCAACAAAGATAACTTGTGCCTACCAGAAGGTTACAGTGAAAGTGTCTTCTTCCTCACCCCCTGCCAAATGTTTAAAGTGAAGTACTCCAAGTAAAAAAGCACAAAAAATCCATCTTGATTTTAAAGCTACTTAATCCTTTTTCTTGAGATGCATGTTTCATCTGCAGAAGCTCTGGCACTTACTCTTTATAGCCTGGATAATTTTTATTTTTCCTTTAACTTTCTCAGCTACACTGGAAGTTGCAGACATTAAAGCTTTTACATTATACGACATCTATTCTAAAATACTGTTCTAGCAAGTCATTCCTGCAAGGAATATAGACCGTATACCTGTTAGAAGACTTAAAAATCTGTTCCATGAAAGCATGCAAAAGAAAACCTGGAGAAATACAATTAAGGGAAAAATCCTTCTGTTTCTTCATAGCTTTCAAGGATGAGATCACCTTCACGTAAGACAGAATTTGGCATCTTGGCTTAACACATATCTAGAAGGAAAAAACATTTTCATTTTGACAGGAAATCAGTGCCTGTGCCAGAAAAATCATTCTAATGGAGATCCATGAATACCATCTGGCTGGCTGGCTCATTCCAAGAATAATTCTGTCAGGTGGCAAGGCTTGTAAAAAGGCCACAGCACCAAGCAGCTCCCTGGGACACTTCAGGCAAGAACCACAAAACAAGTGTCATAGCTCTATAATACCAAGTAAACACAAGCTTTATGTTGTTCTGTCTTGCCTGAACAGTTGTTTCTTCTGGCAGAAAGCTCTCACTATATTCAGACAGTGATTTGCATGCTTTTGGGTCCCACTCACACCTGTCCTGTGCACAAGCCAAGGCAGATCCACAAGAACTCCCCGCTGCCTGCTATTTAATACCCAACACAGTCCACTTGATCCGACAACACTTAGAGGTACAAATTTGCAAGAAGCTCCAATTCCGCACCTACTTTGGAAATTTGGAAATGCCTTCAGCTACAGCCATATTAAACAGATGTTCCAACTTTCTGAATGCAACACAAAAGAGATTTACCTACTGTTTTTGTATTATGCTTATAGAGTACTTCAAAAGAACATTAAAAATGCATGTTCTTAGTTATAACTTGTTACTTTTACTGGCATATGCCACAAAATGTACAATTCCCAGATGGGAATTTAAAAAAAAAAAGTTTCCTATGGGTGAGAAATGGCTAACAAAACCAGCACAACATGATCTAATGGAAGAGAAAATAATGGCGCTCGTAAGGCATGGGCTATGCATTTCACAGTGATAAGCCTTCCCAGCATGCCTGTAAGAACAGTTTGTACCTAGCACCGTCATTTCAAACATACCAAACCATCAGCTTGCTCACCAGATGGTCCTGTGAGAAACACTTGGTCAATTAAACAGAAAATATGCACTCTATGTAGATATCTGTTTTATCTCTTCTTTTGCTGTTGAGATTCTTCAGTGAGAGCCATACACACGCACTTCAGTGTTTGCTTATAGCTACAGCATAAAGCCTCGAATACATCCTAGGGGAGTCAAGCCAACTAGAACATAAAACCAAAATGAAATCTGCATTTGCTAAGAAACCATTACCTTTATCAATAAACTGACAGTACAGCTCTAACAGCCCAAGTAGGCTGTTTAGGTACATTAAGTTGCAAGGAAAGGGTCCTGATAGTCAGAAAATTCCAGATTTATATTCTTCTAAATAAATACTGAGTTTAACAGCATAAAATTAAAAAAAAAAAAAAAATTAAGATGCTGGGAACACAGGAGCTATATAATTAAGCTATCACCTGTCCAACAGTAGTCTGAGAAAAACATGACAAATTAGTGTTAAGGGTTCCCATAATACTGTCTTCAGTGACACAGAAGAGATCAAGCAATGGTGAACAGTTTTGCTTTTGCAGGTCAATTTATGCTATCAGAACACTGATAAAATTCTCCATGAAGTGGCTCCAAAGCCTGTAATCACTCCTACCCCCCTGCTCCTTTCTTCATTAATAAAATTCCATCCAGAACACTCTTGAGAAGCAGCCTCTGGACATTTTTCATGTTGCAGCCATGTTCTCCCCTACATGTCCAGGTCTGCAGAAACTCAGCACACATACATTTCACTGACATCCACTTCTGGCTAAGTCTTTTCCTAGTCATTGCTTCTAAATCTTCTAGGAATTTGAAGCAGAGCTTGCAATCCTATTCAAACCCATCTACACATCCTCAAAAGGAAAGGTGTAACAATTTTTTTTGTCTGGAGAGACTGAGGTCTTAGAGGAAGAAAAGAACAGCTGACTACAACCCAACATACATAAAAGACTGAATACAGTTCTCAGTGCTACTCTTTTCAAAACTGCAGCTAATTACTACAAAACCCAAGTTTGTTACCATAAATTTGTAGCCACTGGTATTCTCATAGTAGGGAGCACAACTTTTAACAGCTGCAACAAATATTATGTCCTATGTCTCACTCAAGGCAGTTTAAGTCTACTACTTTATTAGCATGTCACTAGAAGTTTGGGATGTCAAAAATTTATTTTAATTGTTTCAAAATACATTACTAAAATCTACATAATTATTAAAATAGGCTTACAGATATTCTTTGATTAACAGTTTGCATCACATAGGCATATCTTAAATGCAGTCTTCTCACAATTTTAACATACAGGTATGGCTAAAATTTTACAAGTAAAAAAGCATACTCCAAGTAGCCAATACAGCTAATGACATTCTTGCATCTGAAGTTACATACAGAAATTTTAAGATTCTCTTCATTACTTTCCCAAAAGTAATTGTGATGGTCGAGGCTGCAGGTACATAAATTGTCGTTAATGAACATAACCACATTGATTAGGTAGTCTAACGACACCCAGAACTTAAAGGGCTTTGGCTGAGTTACAACTTGACACATTCTGCTCCACTGATTAAAAGCTCAGTTTTAAAACACAACCTCCTGAGCAAGTAACTACTTCCACTGCTAAAACTGCGAGAGGTAACTGGTCAATGCTAGTAACTTCAATTGTGGTTTAAGAAAAACTAAGTGTAACATGCAAATGGTACCTTAAAGCTAAGAAAATCCACATGCACGAAACAAACCCAAAGTTTTTTTGGCATATAAACTCATTTAACATTTTCCATTTAACATTCCAGTTAGTTAACAGAGGAAGCATGCAAATGGTTAATAAAAGCTGGAAGTCTGTCAACTCTTAAAACTTTAAACATTAAACTACTCAAGCAAAACCAACTGCATTCAAACAGGTAGAACAGGAACAAAAACAACAACCTGAAACAACTTTTTGAAAATGGTTATACTGCATATACTGCTGAACTAAACTGTAGTAATACCAAGTTAAATTAGAGACTCTGAAGTCTTTGTTGATCAAACACTTTTGAGAACTGCTCTTCCTTTTCTGAAGTGATGCACCTTCCTCTCCTGGAATGGGACAGGAGAAAAAACAAAAGAATTTATTTTCTACATAACAGAATAAAGTAACTGAAGTTTTCATGAAAAGTACCAAGACAGTCTGTACTCTATTCAGCCCCATCCAAAGTTGACAAATACAGCTTCTGTATTCCTGCTTCAGAGTACATATGCCTAATTCACACCTATCCTTTTCTAAAAAGGAAGCAAAGTCCTAAATACAACATTAATAAACAACAGAAATTAAATACCACTCAGAATGTAATCAGAAACTGCAATTCTGCAAAGACTGAACACCTACAACAAAAGTACACTGACCAGCTGCCAACCTGGACTACAATTTATTGGTTGAAGCACAGATATTTTACACAACATATAAGGAGCACCATTCACAGCAGGTATTAACTGGTGTGGAGACTACCATGGCCCAAACTCAATATCCTCTATCCAAATCAGGGAGTAACCCACTGCCCTGTCAGCAGTTTGTCACAGAGCAATGATTAACCAGACTTATGCTCCAAGTGTCTGAGCTGACCGTTCAGCAATTTTTATGCAGTCTTGGGTTAAATCAAATAAATCAAATTTTGGCTCTTGTTTCCAGCATTAAGCAAGTGAGAGCCAAACCCATACATCTCGGACCATGTACAAGAAAAAAATTAAAATCATGTTCCAGATATGAATCCCTTTATGGCATCCTGCAGGTGAACAAGCTGAAGGTCAGATGTGTCTTGGGGATTTAATTTTGCTCTCACTACATACCTTAAAGTAGTCTTCTTGTGATACAAAGGTGTTCCTCAGACGATTCTCAGGATTAAACAAACAGGATACTACTGTTTGTATGCTCCTGTCCACAGACTTCTGAAATACAGTTACAGGTGCATCTCCAGTAACACTGATTTTCTTAGCTAGCCCACTACCAGCAATGTGGGCATTTCACAGGGTTTACTTCATATTCAGGATTCCTCTCAACTGCCTTATGTTTCCTGAGCTCTTTGTCTCTTTTTCACCTCCACTTTTTGCTCTTGGGAACTCATTATCAACCTCACATGTTACAACATAACAGTTCTGACCAGTGACACGCCAGTTCAGTTGTGGAACAGGCTGACAGCTGAGAAATGACATCTCCTTTAGGAAACTGAATTCAGAGCCAAGTGTTGGCCAAAGTGGGGTCACCTTTCCACAAAAAAAAAGCGAAGGAGCAAGTGGTTGATTCAGATGAAGTTTAAAAAAAAAACCACACTGTACAAGACAGCAGGCAGTGCTGCCTAACCTGCTTTTTTAGTACTTGAAATTTCCCCTGTAATTCTCAGATTAAGTGCAGTCTTGTCACTCTAACATGTTATTGTACTTAATGAACTAGAACACACATTTTATACAGCCCTCGGCACTACAGACATGCACTAGTAGCTTCAAGGAAATGTGAAGCTTAAGTTGTACACAGAAATCAGACAGTGGCTTGAGGAACTGGCTAAAGCAGCAACTACCACCTTGATTTCTAGGATACTACTCAAGACGTCCTCTTCACAAAGCCACGTAACGCTCACACGCAAACTTCTGAGTATGATTTATGACAAACAGTAAAGTTCTGAGAAAGTACTTACTTTTTGTGGACTGTTAGCAGACAATTGTGTGGGCTCTGGAACAACACATTCTGCCTGTATAAGTTCTGTATCCTCAGTGCAGCGATAGTTCACTGAAGTATAAACCTGTTTAGTTTAATATTGCAGTGTTTCAGTAACACCAGGAAAACACAGTTAAGTTGTCATTGGTCCTCACCTATCCCTAAGCTATGCCAACTTTATCTTCACACTTTTGTTAAAAAGTTCCACAAGCAGGAAAAATACCACATCCTGATCTGTTCTATTACAACAGTGCTACTTCCTTCCAAAAATTATCTAATAAATGCGTTCCCTCCCCACTGTAATCACTTGTGGATTAGCTCCTCAATCTACTTCCTCTATGTATGCTTTTGCCACCAAGCATATTGAGCAATGAAGGCATTCACTGAGAGTTCAGGACAACCAGCAGGCAACTTCAAGAGATTAAGCACTAAGATCAAATGAAAGGGAAGCAAAAGATCTACCACAATTGCCCTTCCAAGAAGTTGCTTTGCTCTGTACAGTCCCTTTTCTTGTTTGAAGGGTGTTTTTTTTGTGTGTGTGTTTTGTTTTGTTTGTTTTTTTTTTTTTTTTCTTGCAAGAAGAGGTCTAAAAAAGCACAGGCCATTTTACAGCTTTTGTCAAATCTCTCCCTGCTTCCCTCTGCTTACAGGGCAGTGTTGCAACCAGCAACCCAGTGCTGAGTTTCATTACCACAGCAAAGAAGCTGACAGAACAGTTGCTCCTTTTATAGAGACATCCTTCCAGATGCTTCTACAGAGGCCTAGCAGATTTTAAAGCAAGTTTTACCTAGATCTCAATGGCAGGGCTAAACATTCTCACTTTTCAGGGGCAACACGCTGTGGGGTTTGTTTTGTTGGGGTTTCTCCCCTCTCGCAAAGTAGTCAAATTTATCCAGATTTGACAGTAGTTTCCAGTTTCTTGAAACATTCTTAAGGATGTTGTATGTGATTATGCACAGCAACCACCAGTTGTACCACCTGATAATTTCAACAGCCCTTTAATACCAGAACTCTTAATTTCAAGCTGACAATACTCAGGAGCTACAGAAGCCTACTGTGCTAGCAGACTATTCCTTTTTGAGCACCATCCTTAACCATCACAGAGGGTATTCTATCTGACCTCATCACAACTGCAGCATTCCCTTTATGAATGGACACTGATTATCCACCTAAACAAACAGATCAGTATAAAGCGATACACCAAGGGATGAAGTTTCCTAACTCCTCATGTGCCTGTCCTCTTTTGAAGCTGTCAAGAATGACACTGAAAGTTGCTTAACCAAGAAAGTTCCAGAAAAACTGCCTGCTCATATAATCAAACTTAAAATGTCTAATGGTAACAATCATTCACACCTACTCCAAAAACTCTTTGGCTTGCTACAATTCCATTGTTAAGTGATACACTGCAGCTCTATCACATTAACGGATGTTATTCAAAAAATTTCAAGCCAACAGAGTAATCAGCATTTCAGTAACTTCTGAACTGTTTCAGATCTGTTTCTGCCCCCAATAAAACAAAGTTAATCCTAACAGAAATACAGACTTTCCATGATTTCCCATACTGGCAATTAGCTTGAAAGAATATAATTCAGATTGAGTGTTACAGCTTTTAAACACTTAACAGAAACTGTACTCCAATACAAGAACACAAGAACACCCAAAATATAAGTCTAAGTTCCAACACCTTCCATGAAATGCCAAATATTTTTTCCTCTCTTGTAGATTTCTCTTGTATAAACTCATAAAGCAAGTAATTTCAGAAGCCACAACAGTATGTAGTAGCCTGGCAAGTCCTTTAAAAAGCCACTGAAAGGAGCCAAAAAAATTATCAGTATTTGCAAAGCAGAATATTTTTACGTTTTCAAGAATAAGCAATAATAACATACAGTTCTAAGTCAGGATTCTGCATCAGATCACTGATTTTTCCTTCAACTTCTTGCAAAAAAAAAAAATTCTGTTCATGTCAAAATTCCAGAATTCTGTGACCAAAATGTATGGAGTAACACTAGAAAACAGGTAGTTCTGCCAGGCAGCTCCTAAAAAATCACCATGTCAATAGGGTATCCTGAACAATTACCTACTGTCAGCAGCTACAGATTTGTATAGACCAGATTAGAGAGTCAACCAACTATTATTTTCAAGTACCAAGCTGCCAAAACATAATGTTAATTGAGAAGACGAAACTCCAGATATTTAACTCTGTAGACTTACCGGAGGCATAACATAACTCCTTTGCTCCCCAGCAAGCCATTGTGGTTGAACCTTAAACAAGAATTGGACAAGAAACAGCTTCTAATTGTTTTATTTCCAACACAGGCAAGTAACTACTCTTTAAGTGCCATCATTTATAACATTTCATGTCTGGATTTCTCATTAAAAAGCAGTTCAGTCTTCTGTCCAGCAGATAGCTTTTTCACAAGTACCTCACGCTGCTTAGGACAAGGTCATCCTTACCACAAATTCAACTATCTCCTTCCCATTCCAGGTTTAAGAAAAAATAAACCAAGATTTCTAAAGATCAGGAAAATAAGGAGAAATCACAGCAGCCACAATGAAGACATCCTGAACCTCTAGCTGCTTCCAGTTCATAACTACTTCTAGTTTCAGTAAAAGGAGTTACCCACACATTTCGTTTTTGAGTTCAAAAATGAGACATTCCTTCCAGGTATTTTTAAAGCTCAAGAGCAGCTCCCCTCTCTATATATATGCACATTTATAGATTCTGGTAAGTCTCAGTGGTTCTGTTTTAAGTAACATCAGTAACCCACACTACAGCATGTTGAAATGCAAAGCTCCTTCCCACACAAAAGAAGTGCTACTGATCCATGTACTTTTTGCCAGTTTGGAAGTTGCTTTATCATTGTATGTTTAATGAAAAAAAATTCAAACTAATGAATGTAAGTTATTCAGCACTTCACTGCGTTAGAATTAAAATATCACTACTTTTGCTTTTACTTTTTATCTCTGTGAAGTAGGAGCTGAAGGAAACCAGAAAGAGAAAAGCAAAGATCAAACTCCAGTTAACACTGTTCATTTCATTCAAGTTTTGTCAGGTTTTAAACAGCCTCTCTGCTACTAAGGAATTACATACCTGATAGTTGTAGGCTGGCTGATATCCTACAGGCACTTGCTGCTGGATCAGTAAAGCTGGTGGACTATACGGATATGTCTGCAAATGAATTTTTTTTTTCCTTTTAAAATGCACGTTTGAATCAAGATGAAAGTATGCTATTTGTAAAGGTGTGTGTAAAGTCTGAGCACATTTTTACAAGTATGTAGTCACATTTCTACTTCAATTCCTGTTCTTGCAGGTTTCTCATGACGGAAAACTTGGAGAATCAGCAGGAACACTACTATCAAGCTCTCTGCTTTAGGGAAAAAAAATGTTCCTAGCAGTCACTGCAGCATACTCCTCTTCAATTGCTTAAGAAGATACAAAATGATCAGTCTGCAATTAATATTGCCCTGCTGCACTGCCATATCACAGAGGGTTAATACAGGAAGAGACCATAATCTGGAAAGTTTCCTATTCACAGTACAGGACTCACAACAAGGCCAGAAGAACTCTGTCTACGCCTCAGTAAGAATGCTGAAGTCCCACTAAAGTGGTGTCCTGCAGACATACTATACTTGTCACAGCTGTTAACAGCAGATGCCTTAACACTGTTCTTAACAAGACACAACAGCAGCTCAGGTACAAGAATTTGTTCAGCCAAGAGGAATAAAAGTAGTATTGCAACCAAACTTCTGGTTACATACTTTTTTTAAAAAAAATACATTTTCAAGGTTGTGTTTTATACTCAGGCAAAGCAGCAATACATTAAATATCCAGATGTGTAACACTTGAAAAACATCTATGACAAGTAACAAGATCAGTTAACTTATGTAACTACATCTTAGTTCCACCTCCAAATTTTCTCATCTCAAAATAAAAAGTATCCGTTCTTTTATGAAGAGACCACATCACTGAATAAATCTTTCAAGGCTGTTTACATTCCTTTCAAGTGGTTTGAAGTTGGGTGCTTACTGTTGGAGCAAGTAATATGAAAAGGAGGTACAGTAAGACTGGAATCTCAATACATATTCCCTGAAGTTTTATGTGCTTGCACCTTCAACAATATTTAATGAACATTCAAAAACTGGTGGCATGAACAGCCTTACCTGAACATACTGTGTGACTGGGCTCATCACAGCTGGAGGCTGCACATACGTCTCTGTATTTTGACTACCCCATACAGTAGGGAACTGTGGTGCAGGAGGATTAAAGACTAGTGGTCTGGGATGTACATAAGAACCTTATTTTAAAGCACAAAAAAGCATTAAGACATTTTCACATTTGTTTCACTACTAATCTGCATTAAAGTTCTAAAAAAAAAAAAAACTTAACTGTTTTTACTCTTAAATTTAACTCAACTTTATTGTGCTACCAACCTGAGTTAATAAAACCCAAGTTATAAAAACTGTACATCACTCAAGTAATAAGGTTATAAAATTCAAAATTGAAGTTTAATTGTAATATACTATTTACAAGGATGTTAATGTCTAATTAAGAAAAACACCAAATCTGTAATCTCCATCTGTAATATGAACAAATTTGTTTACATATACTTACAAAAGTTTTGTTGCTTTCTAATTGCTGGCCCCAGTTTCAGCTTTTTGCCATGAAAGTTGATTTGTGACTGAAAGACAGGTTATTCTGTAAGCTGGGGGGAATCAGGGCAGTGAGTGGTTTGCTTCTAAATGAACTGCTGCTATACCACAGTATTGTCAACTTGTGTACAGGCTCCTCAGCTTCCACTCTCCTCTCCCAACACCTTATGCCTTTTGCCTTTTATTCACCACCAGTAATTTGCAAGTACGCATTAGTGACTGTCAGCCTTCTCATTTTGTACAGAGATATGAACCATTCTTGCCTCAGTGGGAATATTTATATAGTGACCATACCCTAGGTTCCCCTGAAACCCTATCTACACCACCGCTTACCTTCCCACCGACAAACTTCCTAATAGGCTTCATGTTACATGTTAGAAGCTGTCCACCTAATACTAAAGGAACTGTAAGGCTGTCCAAGCACTAGTTTACCTGCATGTTACTGTATACTCTAAAGGAATTTTCACATCTTCCTTCAGAACATCCAACGAACATGCCAATACTTCACACCTGTTTTGGCCAAAGCACCCATGCAGCACGTGGACCAATGAAGGAAGAGTGAGACTGAAATACAGCTCACATATTCCTCAAATATCCAACCCCAGAAACAGACGCATCTGAAAGACTTGCACCAAAGAGGGCTAGGAGCACTCCTCAGTAGTCAGCAAATGCCTGAGAGACATGCAACTTCCTGTTCTTCTAGTTCTGCACCAATGCTTGTTCATACAGAAGGCAGGACTTCAGACCTCTGAGCAATCAGTGACCATGTACTGCTTTGCCAGCACAGGATCTGGGGCCATAACAAAAGCATGGAAGAATTTCAACCACCCTCTCTCCCTGCAGAAGTTAAAGTCTATGAAACTGCTTTGCTTGAAAACTAGTACATCCACTGATGAGCAGCTGAAATGACACCACAGCTGCCTTATACTTGAAGGCCTATTTGGAGTGACCACAGAAGAGGGCCTGCAAGATTGTTTTCTAGGGGATTACAGTTTAAGTCCAATGTATAGAAAGTTGCTTTAACACATGGATTTAATGTTTATTCAGGAACTCCTCCACACAAAACTCTCAAGAGATAATTCACCTAAGCACTGAGATTTAAAATTTCTCTGAGAGTGAACTCTTGAGAGCAAAAAGGCTTTAACAGCTCTACCCCCTTTAATCTCCTGCCTGAACTATATAGGGAAACCATACAACATGAACGGCTGCATCTTACAGTCAAGGAGGCTTTAAAAAAATACTTGCACTACAGATAACATCCAAATGCATAAACACTGCAAGAGAAACACATACTCAACTGTCAAGACAGAAGTAAAACACTAAGGCTGTTTTCCTTGTTACTGTTATTCCCAATGATAATGCTGACAAGCCTATGTACGTGTCATAAGCACCATAAGGGTGTTACAAAGTCACCCAACACAGAACACAAGCAGCCAAAAAAACACACCAGAGGCTTTCAAACCCATAAATGAAAATGGCCAGAAATATAATGACAAAAGACATTCAAGCATACCAATGTTCCAACTAATTTTCTCTTTTGTAATTTACAAAGATTTACCACCAGTAGAGATTTGATCAAGTTTACTTTCTGGGCAGCCCTAGAGCTTCCTTGTCCTAATTTACTCCAGTGTACATGACTTGGATCCCCCTGAACACGTCTCCAGCCTTCACATATGAACTTCTTCAGATAATTTAGACAAAGAGCTTACTTCTACTATTTTTTGAACATCCACATTTTCCAGGAAAGATACAAATCCATACCTGAAAAGAAAAAAAAAAATTATTAAATCAGATTTGATTTGTTAAATTATTTTGAACAAGACCAGTTGACAGCACACATACCAGGTACATTATATTGCATGCCAAAACCATCAAGTAGGACATTAGTTTACAATTCAGCATGAAAATTTACTGCTAGCTAGCAGCATATACTGCTGCACCAGATTAAAGGAGTGAATGCCAGATTCTAGAACATTAAATACATGTGAGGGATACTATTAAAATGAGCAGTACTGATATTACTCTCAGAAAGAAAAAAAAAACCTTTTAATTCTTAAGATCTGATTTACCATCCAATTTTGCATTATACTGTAGAGGTTTGGATCAAAGTAGGCATTACAGGAACAATCACAACAGTGGGGGAAGTCATCCTTGAAAAGCTTTTTCAATTTATCTCACTGTCCCCCCAGTTTATCTAGTCTATAGAATTAAGATAATTTCCGAGCATTATAGGGACAACTGTATCAATTAATGAAGTATGCCAATTTGTTATCAGGCCTCAGAACACACACACACCCCCCAGCTAACTGCACATCAGAATTCACCATAAAGACTAGCAAGGGATACAAGGACATAAAACAGATTTCCAGCACACACATTACTACATATGCCTAAAAAAAAAAAAAGTTACTTTAGGACCTGCTCATAGCATCTTAGAAAAAATTCATCTGGAATGGACCTCTAGAGGGTGAAACACCCTTCTCAAAGCAGAGATAACTTCAGAACTGGGAGAGCTGCTGCAGAATTCAACTAGTTAAGGTCCTACACATCTTTATAGAAGTGTTTTACCACAGACAATGCAGAATGTTTCTATATCTCCAATGGAGATTTCCCTTGCTTCCAACTTTGTTCATGTAGTTTCATTTCACTCTCCACCCAAACAAGTTTCATTGTTCTCAACTTATTCCTGAGCATCAGAACAGCACAGTCCCACTGCCCAAAATAAACCATATCCCCCTTCTCCTGACCATCCTGAACTCTCTCCAGACTGTTAATTACTCTAGCCATCAGAAGAGTCCTATGGAAGAACTCTCTGCATAAGCATCACACAATCTCAAGCTTTGTTTCCACAGGTTAAGTGACAGCATCCTTTTCCCTGGACAGCAAGACTGAAATCAAGAAAAAAAAAAAATCAGGCTATTATTTTTAAGACTATAAAGATTTAGGGGTAATCTAGTTTTACAGGTTTCAGTGTTAATTCACAACAGAAAACTGCAGCAAGTGTTAAAGCTTAAGCACACCAAGTGTGTTGCTAAGTAGCCACTCAGTATCATCTATGACAGAATTACATCCATGTAAGCAGCAACTTAAAACAACTATTCAAGTTCTACTCACCCTTTGGAAACACCAGTTCTGTCAGTAATTATTTTCACCTCTTTCACAGTGCCGTATCTTTCAAAGAAACTCCGAATTTCTGCTTCGCTCATCTAAAAGAAATCAAGTCTTCAACTTCTTCAAACACATTCAACTGTTAAGAATTGATTTAAAGCAGCCAGCACCATTTTTCCAACCCATCTTCTACTTCTGTAAGTAATTATTCACTTGTCCCAAAATTCTCTCATGACACCGTTATACCTTAAGATTAGTAAAGACACATTAAAGAACCACCCAGGAGTTAAATTCCCATTGCCTTCCTACTGAAGTATCCTATACCCATCTTAAACAATTAGAAGTATATAAATACCCTTATATCAATTCCACCAACAAAGACTGTGTTGGGCATGATTTTTCCTTCTGGTAAAACATATCCTTGACTGGTTGTTGATGAAGGGGTATTATCCTCTGAGACACTTGCAGAGTGGGCCTCCACATTTGCAGACTGAAAAGTTTAAGCAGAATTCATATTTCAGTTAAATTACTATAGTACACCTTCAGATAGTAAAACATCTGAATCTTCCTACAGACATAGGACAAAGAATTTGAGTAGCACCTTTCCAATTCCTTAAAGGAAGTACTTGCTGCAACTAAACTATTCATGAGACAAAAAAAGTTATTATTCTAAGAGTCTTTAAAACTAGACCCAACCTAGGCTACCTTAAGTAGCCCTGACATATGAAGCTTCATGGCCAGTGTCACTACAACCAGGCACAATGAAAACATCAAAATTATTTCTTGTGTACATCTGAAATTAAATTCCTTAAAGATACAATTTACTGTAAACCGATTATCCAACAGAACAAATGCCACCATCCTACTAGTCAAAAGCTTTACATACTTGAGATTTGAGTAAGCTTACAAACAGCCTTAGAGCACAGGAAACAGAACTGTACTACAAGTTAGCTGTAAGGAAGGGGAAACATACCCTTGACGGAATATTCAAACTACCCATTTCCTCAGGAAAAAAAAAAAAAATATTTTTGTCAATTTAACTATAGCAGGAATACAAGTGAGTACAAACTTCTGAGCTTTCCAACTACAAACTCTGGTCCCTCTTAGCTAAACCAGTCATTCAGGAGAGTAGAAGACATGTGCCACACTTTGCCTGGCTGGTAGAACTACTCTGACCAATTCAGTGTTTGTCATCTCTCTATATTAATGTACTTTGAAGCATTAGTAAGTTTCTACAGTTCAAGCTCAGATACTCCAAACTTTGATTTAGTCTAAGTTACCTAATATTTTAAAAACAAATAATTTGCAATGGGTAGCACCCAATTTCTCAGTGTAACGATTTTCAAGTTTAAGGCTCATTTAAACTGCAGCTGTGAGTGACAAGTACTCAAACTGGACACCCAGAGCAAGGGAAGCAGAAAACAACAAAAACCAAACAACACAGATGGCATATGATTTATCCAGCACTGAAGTAAAGGGGATCAACTGCACCCTTAGTATGTTTGCAGACAACACCAAGTTGCCTAGGAGTGTTGATTGCTTGAGGGTATGAAGGCTCCCCAGAGGTATCTGGACAGGCTGGGTGAAGGGCCGAGGCCAGTGGTATGAGGTTCAACAAGGCCCAGTGCTGGGTCCTGCACTTGGATCACAATAACGCCAGGCGGCGCCACAGCCTTGGGGAAGAGTGGCTGGAAAGCTGCTTGGCAGAAGACCTGGGCATTTTGGTCGATAGCCAGCAGTGTGCCCAGAGGCCAAAAGTATCCTGGCTTGTATTAAAAAGTATGGCCAGGAGGACTAGGCAAGTGATCATCCCCTGTACTTGTCACCGAGGCCACAGCTCCAATAACATAAATAAGTTTCAGGCCCCACGCTGCAAAAACAGTGTTGAGGTACTGGGGCATGCTCCAAGAAGGGCAATGAAGATGGTGAAGGGTCTAGAGCACAAGTCTTACACGAAGCAGCTAAGGGAACTGGGATTGTTTAGCTTGGAGAAAACGAGGCTGAGGGGAGATACTCACTCTCTACAACCATCACAAAGGAGGGTGTAGTGAGGTGTGAGTTGGTCTGTTCTCCCAAGTAACAAGTGACAGGGACAAGAGCAAACAGCCTCAAGTTTTGCCAGGGGAGGTTTAGATTGGATGTTAGGAAAAATTTTTTCACAGAAAGGGTTGTCAGACACTGGGAGAGACTGCCCTGGGAAGTGGTGGAGTTGCCATCCCTGGAGGGATTTAGAATGTGTAGATGTGACACTGAGGGACATGTTTTAATGATGACCTGGCAGTACCAGTCACCACTGTTGGACTAGTTGACCTTAAGGTCTCTTCCAACCCCTACGATTCTATGAAAGCCAGAATAAACGATATGCCATTACTAAAAGCCAGAACCAGAGTTTCCTCCATCCCTTTTCCTGCACCTCCTCTGCACAAGTTCTAACACTTCTCAGTTCCAATTAGGCTGGCTCAACAAAATTTGGCAGGAAGATTAACATAAAGTGATTTTTCACCCAATTAGTATTCTGCTGCTGTGGAGAATTTAATCAGCTTACTATACTATCAGACAAGCATCAGATCCACCTCACGATCAGCAGATGCAGGAGAGGAAATGGTCATGGAGGAGTCTTACTTAGCCTCTTCTTTCAAGCAGCACTAAGCCATCAATTCAGTTCAAAACCATTTCATGAAGCTATTACCTTAGACAGAATCTTGTTCCACCACACCAGAAACTGTTGCCTACACTCAATTTACTCACCAGCTATGCTTCCTACTGCAAATTCCCAATGAAAGTTACAAGTCAAGTCCCTTCTCTTTATCCTAAGAATTCTCCAGTAAAATTGGAGGCCACAACTTCCACTGTTCCACAGTAAAAAAAGATTGCGTAACAGAACGTTTCTGCTGCGAACAGAAGAACAGTAGTTCTCCCCCTTCTCTCGTGTTGTACTACAACCACTCTTTACATCACTGTGCAAGGAAATCAATAAAACATTTCACAGGAGCAAAACTATGGAACCTTTCAGACACATCCACTTCTGATCCGAGCTCTTAAGAACACAACAAGGGAAAGAAATTAAACAAGAGGCAAGAAGGTGGCCACTTCTTTGGCTGCACCCCCTGCTAAGGGCATTTAAACTGCAATCCGAGACTGCAGCTCCACAGCAACCTTAAGCTGACCGAACTCTTGGCTTCAACTTCTTGCTGGAGCACTTAAGAGTGAACCAGGCTAAATGATGCACTCACTTTGCTGTGCAATTTCTCTGGCAACCCAGAACAGGAAACAGCACATAGCAGATGCACCCAGCAAGTGCCAGAATCAGCACAAAGCAGCTGGCAGGCACACAGACTCTGCTGGTACACCACTCACTGATGGCTCAAGTTATTGATGGCCACGGCTGCCATGGATGTGCAGCATTCATTTCTCACAGAACACGATTCTCAATGAAAATAGACCTATTTTATATTTTTACACATTAAATATCTAAGCAGAAAAGCAAACAAGCTGCTTAGGTATTGTGAAAAATTCACTGACATCAAAAATAAGCTTTAATATCTGTCAATAGATTTATAAGAATTTGAAAAGGATCTGGTTTTGAAAAATGCATAGCAGTGAACTCTTACAATATGAGGACAAGAAACAAAAAGTAACTTTGAAAGGAGATTTTAAGTCTTTAGTATCACAACAAACATTTTATCAATTCTAAAAAAGTATTGTACCAGCACAATGTGTAATTGCTATTTTACTAATCTAGTATTGTGTGACTGTCCTTCCACATACAGTATGTGTAAAGAACTCATTGATGCTGAAACAGTGTCTAGATCCTAAGCCACCTGAAGTTTTCAAAACATGAAAATCATGAAGCTGATGAGTCCACTACCCTGAAATGATATGATCAGCTCAAGAGACCTAACCCTTCAGAAATAACCTACATGGGCCTGATTTGTCTACCCATCTCGTATAGTATTCCTGAAAACAAGTTTCTAGATGTCAGGAAACTTCTGCTCATTTGAAGTTTCTCAAACAAATGTGATTTTTTTCCTTTCTCTCTTCACAAAATAAGTTTTATTTGCTTGCTCTTTACATTATTCCAGCAAGCATCAAGTTTAAGTTGATGCCGGGACACTGTATTAGCCTCTTGGTTAAAGTAGTCATGAGGCTAGTCAGACTTCTGGAAAAAAATAAAAGTGGAAAATTACTCCTGTTAGGTGCAGGTGGTGGAAACACCTGGGTGCTCAAGCAGGTTAACAACATCACTCAGTCCTATGCACACCTACGGGAAAATCTTCACTTTCCTTTTGGCCACATAAGTCCTCGATTTCTTCAGGCCTCTCCCGTCTTTCCCCGACCTCACACTCACTTCGTTGAAAGTAAATTAAGCATTTTATTTTCTCTTTAAAAATCCGACAGACGCCCTGCTGCGCGGGAAGCGGTTACCACGGCAGCACGCTACCTGGAGAGCCAACATGGCGCGGGTGCCCGGAGAGCGACGCAGTCTGCCCAGGAGGCAGCAGGTGGAGCTGTCAGCCAAGCACGACAGCGCCTGCCACTTGTCAGCCCTAACGGCTTTTTTTAATAACACTCTATTTCTATGTGGTTGTCGAACTGTCTGGGTTACAGTCGCAAATCCAATTTTTCAAAAATTCCTTTAGAAGAAATAGCAACTTGCATGTTTAAAGACCAATGGGCGAGTTCAGGCAGTGGGTCCCTCCTCGACCACATGAAGTCCACAGGGCGCTAAGCGAACCCTGAGGATTTTGTTTGTGTTTTTTTTTTTTCCTGGCAAGTTTAAAACTAAGCTGGGAACCTCAGGCCATGAAATGCGCCGTG